CCTCAAGCACCATATTTTTCTGATCAAAATGAGACATCTTACCGACTGAAGACACTCCAGTGTGTTCTATGAGAATGCATTGAAGTGGGTGAATTTTGATGACTCGCCATGCAGTATACAGAAGAAATTAGAAAAAGTCTGGCTGTTCTTTTTTTAATCCAGAAAGTAAAATTGTTAACAAAGTTGAACAGCAAATAATTTGAACTAACTTTGGGTGTTGTTTTGCTTTTTCAGGAATGATAAAACGGCTGGATTAAGCGTTGGTTTGCAACCATTCTCCAGAACTTTCATCTTGCTATTTGAAGAGCCACTTTTCCGGACTTTTAAGCTCGTCGAATCCACTCTGTAAATGCAAGACATCATCCTACTTTATTTAATTAAATTACAACATACTACTTTTTTTGCAGATTTAGTAGACAGAGCCATGATATCTAATGTAATGCCATCAAAAAAAAAGAAAAAAAAAAGAAAACAAACGCGCTGAGATCAAGCATCCAGTAGGACCCCTTTCCTTTTTCGCCATCCTTACGAGGCAGCTTAATGAACTGCTTGTTGAGCGAAAGATTGTGCCTTATTGAGTTCTGCAAACGGAGGATATTGTAGCGAAAGGTGCGCGTTTTTGTTCCTCGTTAATTTTTCTTCAAAATTTCACTTTGTTTCACTTTCATGTGATTTAACAAACAACTCATAGGTGTATTAAGCTCTTGTTCATTTTGTGCGTGTCGGCATTCTCTGAAGATTCGGCTTCGCTAGGCCGAAAGGTGTGGGAATGGAACTCTGGAAGTTTGATCAGTAGTCCCCCTTAGCACAGCTCGCTAGTATAATTAAGAATGGCTGGGGTGATACCTGAAACTCTCGATGTTCCGGATTTCAGAAAACTGCTGAATTGCTGCTCTAAACACGCCTAATATACTCACCAAAAGATTATTTATCAAACCTCTTGGTTCCTACCTGCCAAGTGATGTCTGTTCGTCGGTACCACGCAAAATTTTTCTTCACGTAATCATAGATGTCGCTCAGCAACACTTTACGTTGTTCATGATGGCGCATTGCTAACGTGATCAGCTCTGCGTAGCTATACGGTGGTTTCACAGGTTCCTTCGAGAAGTCCACATTCCGTAGAGCATTCTTTTGAAAGCGCTTCGCCGGCTGCTGAATGCAACGACATGAAGCGCTAATGCCAAACAGATGCTTTACTGGGTGTCTTTGATTTAAAAACAAGACCGCGGCTAGTGAGAGGAATCATTTTAACACCGAAACGGATACCCGTGAATGTGTTAAGTTCGAAAGCAAGGACGAAGCAGAATAGCTGCCAGCTGCTTCGATAGCGCTAAGGTTCGAAAGAATGGCATCACGGCTGCTCAAAGTAAATCTATCCTCAGTATTGCTCTGACCTCCCGGAAGTCTATGTCTTTCGGATTATTAGACTCAGAAAGATAGCTCTTGTACTCAGAAGAAAAGTAGACTTGAGTATTTTTAGTTGATGAAGCGTTTCCGACAGATGGAACTTGTGACGTCGTCGCTGTTGCTATTTTATACTTGCTTTTTCACGGGAAATCTTTGCTGGCCTACTAAACGCAAGACATGTCGAATGAAAATCTAATTTTTTGAAAAATGATTTTACAAACGATTTCATAGAGAGCTACTCGATAGCTTTGGCTTCCCTTCGGTGAGACAAGGGCTTTCCAAATCGTTGTTAGATATGCGCTTATTTATTAAATACCGTGCATGCGAGCTTGCCGCTGTAATTTGACAAGTTATGGTTGATCTAGCGGCGAAAACACCATGGACAAAAATCCAATTCATTTGTTAGTTTCAATAGTAAACTGGTCAAGCGAGCTAATGCCAGGAAGTCAAACCTGCCATTAGCTCGCTCGTAAGCATCGCGCTGCTGGCAGTTGCTTTTGACATTTGCCACCACCTGGTCTACTTCCAAGGTGCCTCCATCTCTCAAAAAAGCAATTACGATGTGGGATTTGACATTTAGTTTTTGTGAACTGTCAGTTAGCCAGTGTTCTCTAAAGCGCCAAACTAAATGGCCTGGTCCCAACCTTCGGCCTATTCAGTTTACAGTAAACTTCTCATATGCCCAATTGTTATTCAGTTGGGAGTAATAAACTTCGATAGCGAGAAGGCACGCGACACAGGTGTCCACTATCCATTCCCCTCCAGCTAGTTTATTCCACCCATCCATCATATTGATTATGGAATTACATCTGAGTGCTATCGCTGGCTTGCTAATTGCTAATCAAAAAGCATCGCAGAAACGAGTGCGACTGCAGCTTCCGTCGCTGGTGATTGCATTAAGCTGAGCAATATGACAGCAATACTTGCAGGCACCCTGAATACTCCTAATAAGCTAGCAAACGAGCGGACGCGGAGATGGAGGCCGAAGAGAACGCTATAACTTTCATTTTCTTAACTTCATGTTACCCTATTATTTTTGCTTATTATATATTCTGTACTCAAATTATCAAAGCATATTCTATAAAGTCATAGATGGCAAAGCACCTCACTGTCATCATGGAGTGGCAAGGTA